GGGGGGGGGGACTAAACCAATCAACAGGGAAAGTAAAAACAATTATCAATGTTTACCTTTACGATAATAGAATCGGAATGTTTGGACTTGGCAAAGTTTTGTGTTGTTAAGTTAATTCTAGTTCATTAATAGTTGTTTTTGTACTTCCCAGGTGTGTAAAATGGCATGGCTTCGTACTTCTGAGGGCAGTGAATCGATCACAAGTGGACTCTTCCAATTGCCATTGATTCAATGCCCTGAGAATGAAATGACCTGCATGAATGAGAATAGTCATATGCATTTAAAAAAATGTTTCAAAAATGTTCATCTCATATTTTAATAACCTAATTCAGATAAACGAGTGTCAAAACATCTCCGTGCAGTTTTACACCACTGGAAATGACAACCACAGCGATCAACATTGTTTGGAAGCAACCTGACAGCCTCAAACATTTTCAAAACAAATCAATATTATCTTTCCAGTGGCTGAATGTGTTACGTTGTGTGGGTGCACCAGTGGGTGTATTTTCCTATGTTGGCTGAATCTCAATATTTTTGTACAATGCAATGGATGAGTCTATGTCTAACTTTTATGAGAAGCTCCAAACGTTGGGCGAGTATCCAGACCTACGGTAAGCATACACCCGTGTGCAAGCCATCAGTGTACAGGGAAAGTAATAACAAAAAAAGACAACAAACCCTTGTGTAGTGGAAACACTGGCTATGATTAATATCAGAGCATCACTTAGCTGGGGAGCACACATAGCGAAACATCCTTTGTAATTAATGTTCTACAGCTGTTAAACAACTTTAGTGAGCGAAACGCTAAGATGACTAACCTTCTTGAAAGATCGGACGCCCCCTGATGTCAGTTCCTCAGAGGCTGCTGACTTAGGTTTGGGAGCCTGCTTGACAGCTTCGGTCTTTAGTTCAGGTGCAGGTGTGGCCGAGGTTTCGGGCTCCAGCTTTTTACTCTCCTCCTCGCAGCATTTTAAGCACACGTACATCTGGTCCTCCTCCTCCATCTCGCGTACTTTGAGCAGGTCAAGTCCAACACAATCACCATGGAACCAATCATCACAGCGGCCACAGCCAACCATGAACCTGAAAGGGGGTGAAAAAAATATTTTGATCAATTTTCTTTGCAGCCCGTAATGTGACGACTATCTGATCGCGACAGGACACGTCAGTTTAATACCATACCATCATAAATGTAATAATGAACCATAAAGGAATTTATGGCACTAAAACATTTTGTTTTTTTAACAAACACGAGGAGGAGGGGGAAGGAGATGTGATACAAGCTCCGCACTAATTTTTCGATGCGGGTACGTTTGCTTCGGTAGCGAGGCCAACTTCAAGAGGCGCCAGCCAACATGGCACGCAAGTGAGTCGCGGCAGCACATCAACAATGAATGGGTTGAAGTGCAGTTTGAAAAAGCTTTTTACTGTCGATCAAGCACACCCAAAACATCTTGACAAAAGTATTTTGGAATGATGCCTGCAGAAATACAATCATGATTAATTTAAATTCTAATTTGTGTTCCGAGCTTGAGAAATGTTTATCTGAGAGTATACTTACATGTTGTTGTGGTGTTTCTTGCACTGACCACAGCAGTTGTTTCCATCCCACACAGACTCGCTGTTGGCAGGTTGCTCCTGCTGCTGTGGCTCCACACTTTCTTTCTTTACAGCCGGAGCATTGTCGGGAATAAACAGCTGTGGCTCATCCACAGAGATGCTTCTTGCGGTTTTACTTTTTTGCCTTTGTAGGATCTTTTCAGGCTTCTTCATTTTCGGCTTCTCCTGCCCTGCTTCTTCTGGTGTTTTGGAGGAATGACCCAGACGAGTGACATGGGTGGAGTTCAAAGAGTCTGCTTTCAAGATGTTGAGAGTATGAGACGGTTTGGTTGGACTGTGTTGATCGACGGCACGATTCCCACTAGATAGCGTTTTCTTCACTAGAGAGCTCGGCTTCACTTTGGGATCTCCTGTTTGCATCTTTGGATGTTTAGGGGGATGTTCACTTGGGGTGGTGTCAGACCGCCTTTTTAAATGTTCACTGCTTCTTTTCTCTTTAAGAGATTTCAATTTGTGGAGGACATCTCTTTGGACAACTTTGGATGGTACATTTTGGGAGACTGTAGCTCCTTTAGTCGCATTGCTTTTTTCACCTATAACACCACTTTTCTTATTGAAAGTAAGTGGTTGCTTTGATTGGAGCAGGTTTTTGGCTAAAATTGGTTTCTTTTCTTTATTGTCTACCTTGTTACTTGCAGCGGTCCCGTTGCTTGGTGGCGTTTTAACACCACATTTTTTGTCATTGACCGGCTTTTGCTTTCTCACAATAGGCTGATTGTCATCTTTAGTTTCTTGAGTGCACTTCTTTGTTTCGGTCCCATTAGCCGCTTGCACATCATTAGGGTTCACATACGGCCCCAGACCAAGTGGTGTATCGTCAACACCCAAATTCTCAGTTACATTCTGGTCTGCGACTTTCTGAAGTGCAGGATTTTGTGCAGCGACACCATCATCTGACAACATGGCGAACCCAACATCCGCACCATAAGAAAAACTACCGTCAAAATTGGCTTCTGTGTCATGGAGATAGGATGGCCCAGGAAGTAGTTCAATCTTGAATCCTCCAATGGTGACAGTCAGTCGTTTCAACACAACAGATGGTTTTAACCATAATCCACCTTCAATATCGTTGATATTGATGCGTCCACCCAGAGTTAGTTCTTTCTTCAGCTGTATTCCTTTCACCCCTTTCTTGATCAGAAACGACTTCTGTAGTCTGTTGGAAGGTTTCCTTCCCGGTCTTCCTCTGGGTACAGGATTTGTGGTAATCTCAGCAGGCTTTGGACCGTCATTGGATTCTGTGTCTAAAAGCCAAACAAATGTCACAATTTGTTGAAATATAGGAGAAGATATAGGAAAAAAAAATAAGCTTGAAGCTTACCTAACTGTACGTTAATTGGGCGCTTCCTGGGTCTGCCCACAGGCTTCTTGATTGTGGCTGAATTGTTTTTTGTGACCGCCAGGTCACCGCTGAGGCCTGCGGCTGTTGAACCACCACTGAGCTCTGCCACGAAAGACAAAGGTTTGTGTAAATGGGATTGCGGGGGGAAGTTCATAGCAGTGCAGAAGTCAGCCTTAATCCTTCATCAGAATCACATGTGGACTTAAAACAACTTTACTACATGAGCATTGAAAATGTGTGAAATAACATGCTATACGCAACAACGCAACAACAAACGAAACCGTATAGAACTACTTTATTCCAAAAGCACATATTGACAGGCTCAACACCACATGAAAATATGTACTGGTAGTAAGCATACCTGCTGAGCCTGAAATTTGAAAAGTAGAGTCCTCATTATCCAGCAGGTTGAACTGAGACGTTGCACATCCAAACATGGGATCTTTGTCACTCAACATGTTCTTGAGCGAATCTTCAAGGCAGAGTCCCGACCCAAACTCATTACTGGCTTCACATTCCAGATTTTGACCTATGACAAGGCTGTCGTCTAACTGGTCACTGGGTATTAAAACGTTAAAAGTGTCCACAATATCCATGAATGCTGCTACCTTCCTGCAAGGGGGAAATACAGATAAAACGCATTACTTAGATAACCGACATGTGGATGTTACAGCTACACGTGTACATCAAAGCATCATAAATGTAATTAAACATGATCAAGTCAGCAATAAATCTTAACGTAAGCAAGTGGGGACGGGGGTCTTAAGTTTGTGACAATAACACGATTCAGTGCTTTCTCCATCGTTGGTGCACGTTACTGTCCTAAAGTAGCAGTTAGCAATGAGCGAGCTGTTTACTTCGGTCAACAAGGTTTTTGATTCAAATGTCGGAGGCCCACTAAAGAGCTCGAAGGTTTATGCAGTACTAGTAGCACATTCTAAACTCCCGACTAATGCCAAATGCAAATCGGTAATTCAAGTTTTAGCAAGCGTGTACACAAGTTGCAAGAGGCCAGATTGGATTCATTGAGAACGTAAGAACGACAAGGTGGGGATTTATTGAACAAAAATTGAGATGGATTACTATTTTTACTTGGAAACGAATGTAAAATGTTACTTATATTGACTAGTTTTCCAAACAGACAGCAAATAAGTTGCCTGCTAGTTAGCACGCGTTGCTAATGCCAATCTGCAGCTATGGATCGTATCCGTTAGCAAGCTAACGATGACCTGTGGAGGAAGTTTTAGTTATTCCTCAAGTCTTTAGCCAAGTAAACATACGGATGTGCCCATGACTGCACCATAACTGCATGACAAATCGGCTTGTCATTCTAGAGACAAAATTATAACATGTACAGTAGATAAAAGATCAAGAGCGAGGCAAAATATGTCAGACATGCTAACTAGGTCGTGCTAGCAAAGGCCTAGGGTTGTTTGTAGCCTGACTGCAGCTAACAGGCGTTGCGAAAACACGCCCACGAGCATCAAGTTCAGCTTTGGCTCACTGTAGATTTGAACATGTGAGCGTTTATACGTGGAGGCTTACCTCTGTCTGAGTGCAATGATGTGTCCAATTCGTATAGGTTACATAGTAACGCGGCTACCTGCTTGCCTGCCTCCGCTAACTTCCTCTACAGCTAAGCCGTCATTCGTCCCGCTGCCGCAAAGCTCCTGATCTGCAAGTCACGTGGTTTGTGTTTACAGCAGGTATCTTAGCAGCTGCGAGAGTGCGGGCGGTTATTCCTCATGCAAAAAACCTACAGCTATTTTGTTTTGGAATTATTTTATTTTCAGTTTAGAGATATAAATTTTAACATACCAACAGTGTACATAGACGTTGTATCAGGTAAAACGTTGAGGATACACTTCCTAATCCGAGAACCTACCTTGAACCCATTCCGGAAAAAAAAACATACAATCAACTGCAATCGAAACCTTTTTAAAAACCAGAAGCCCGAAGACTCTTTTTCAAAGATAATGTGGCCAAACACAATTCACGTCATAACAACGTGTAAACATAAAAATAAAAAAAAAACAGTACAATTACAAACAGAAAACTGCGATCGACAAGACTACCATCCACTCAGAATGAATAGCAAAAACTACAGAACAGTGCAACTGATAAACAATCAGTTTACTATTCGACTCCCAATATCATTCTAGGGCCAGGGACCAAAGAAGCCTGCCTCAGTTTGCAGAGATGGCGCTTTAAAACAGATGAGAAGTACACTATAAGCAATGCAATTGCAAGTAATATGGCATTATCTCATGAATTAAGACCAGGAAAATGTTGCATTTCACTTAGACCTGTTCCTGCTTGTTGTGAGTTGAGCAATGTTCTGGATATTTGTGCATTTTATTTCACGAAACCCTGACTGTGGATGGCATGACAGCATTTTTCAGTTAGAGAAGAAGGTGTGAGTATGCATAGGTCTGCACACGTATGCAACTTCATAATGCGATGAACCATTTAACGTTGTGATTAGGACAAATGCTCCTTGCGTTTTTCATGCGGCTCTAATTCGTAGCAGGAAACCTCGTTTTCGATAGCTGCCCGAGCCATTTGTTCGGTGGTGAAAGCTGATGCCCATTGGCCCTGTGGAGAAACGATGACAACTCCATCAGCGCCACACACACAATTGTCCATGTACTGCAGAGACATGTTTGAAGCCTCTTCCACGGATTTACCTGATGTTTGTGCCAGGAGGGTAAAATACGCTGATAACAAGTGAGCAGTCATGTCATTGCAAAGTATATAAAATGTCACACATGAACTGAAACCTTGTTCCACATGTGTAAGGATGAGTCTGGCCAGTGTGACTTTAAGGATTGACTCTCCATGGCCAGCACAAGACACTGCACCACTGAGGTTGTAGTATCAACAACAACAACAAGTAGTATCAAGACAATATACAGTAATGAGTGGTCTTCCGATCGAGCGGTTCAAATCTTGATTCAGGCCTTCCTGTGGTGGAGTTTACACTTTTCCCCTGTGCTGATGCGGATTTTCTCTGGCTTTCTCCTGTTTGAAATTGTGGCACGAGTCCTGGAACCTTCCTAATACACCTCATATTTTACCATTGTGAATAAATGCACTACATGCAGTAAGTGATTCTCAACCAGTGTGTCCCGAGATATCATGTGTGCCACACGAAACTATTATTACTCCACCCCGGTCTGGAATCCTGCTATTGCTTGTAGTATTTGTATACACTTGGATTGTTTCAAACTGAGAGGAGTCACTTTGAACAGGTAAAGTTCAAGTACTATCAGTGGGCGTTGAAGTCTTCCATCACCCCTGTCACATACTTCTTGTGCTTCTCCCATTCTTTTCTCTCGTAGCTTGTCATCAGTGTATCAGTGGGAACTGTCGCCATGCCGATGCTCCAAAAATTCATGTCTCCTTCCCAAAGAGGCTGCAGAAGAAATCAAAAAAGTCCATCTCACAATCAGATTTTATCATGAAGAATTGTCAGGAGTCTTATTTGTCTTTCATGTTATTATGAAAACAATGTTAGGAAAAGTGTGACTTGAATGAATATGGACAAGGCCTCTGTTATGGATTTCTAGCATTCCCTGTTGCAACTGTAGCTGGAAAAAAATATTTAGCCACATCCCTGAAAATGTAGCTGATTGTGCACCCCTGGGAAAAGAGGGATTTGATGCAATGTTTTATTCTGGCAAGGACTCCTGTTATGGGTGTGGAGATTTTCCCGGCCTGTGTTTTCAATAGAGGCCGTACCACCCCCAGATGGAAATGCAAATTTTAGACAATGGCAAGAACCAATCATATAAAATGGATCCCTGGGAAAGAGTGGGGCTTTATGCCATTCCTGGCCCCCTTTTATAGTCTTAAAGCCTTTTTATTTTCGTAAAGAAATGTTTAACATGTTCAAATTTTGAGAGGAAAAGAAATAAAATAAAAACAGTCTGCAGAAATAAAGAAGGCCATGAAAAGGAAAGTTTCAAAATATGCAGTATTATTTTTGACCACTTGAGGTCGACAAGAGTCCACCAAAATCAGTCATCCAGTGAAGGACCACAAACAATGGCACCTTGACTTACGAGTTTAATTCATTCCGTGACCAAACTCGTAATTGTACTTGTATATTCAACGAATGCTTTTAATTAATTAACAGGCTGTACTGAATAAATTGAAAGTGCATGGAAATAAACAGTTTTATAAAGACTAAGTACGAGTACATGTTTTACTAAAACATAATTTACGTCAAGCCGGTAAAACGGTTTTACCATACAGTTTCAATACTTCCAGCAAACTAGTAACAGTCGGAAACAATCCCTCAACGCTTTGGGTGGATTGAATGGTGATTTTAACTTTCTCTACAGCTCTAGTTTGAATGTGTTGTGACTTGAAAATAATAAGTTATGTGACGTATGGCTAAAGTGGTGGAAATTGATATGTACCGTAGTAAACATGGTCATTGCCATTTAGGACCTGCCAAATTAATTGCCTCTTCTGTTGCTTGAAATATTGGCGGTTTGAAACCAACTTTCTCTTATGACGGCGAAATGTGTCGAATGTCAGGCTAAACCTTATATTTTGCTAAATTAGTTGAAGACAACACAGCAAATGCGGTAACTGTGATTTAACCTTTGCGGCCAAACGAGTTCACAATAATTGCGTAAATGTCAAACCTTGAAAGTGTTATTTTTACCTGAGTAACCCACTTGATTTAATTACCACATGATTTTTTGGGGGAAAACTATGAGAATTAAACAATCTTTTTTTTCCTTCTCTTTAACACGGTGTTCTTGGCGCAAGATCAATATGGGACAGCCCCCTTGTTGTTTTCAACGTTGTGCAAGTTTAGCAGCACTTCATTATACTACAGTACTGTACTTCATTTTTACTGTATGCATGTGGAAGGAGGAGTGGTGTGTTCGTCTGCAGCATCCCTTGTCCCAGCATGTGTCCAATAGTGTTCGGAGGGGCGGGGAGCAGCGTGCCGTGAGCACCCAGTATGAGCTTCTGGCGTGGAGCTGAAGAGGCGGAAAGGCAAGAGCCAGCGGTGGAAGAGATGGGCTCACTTGTGTGAATCACAAGTCCACCTGCAAACAAGCATACCGGACTCCTTGGAGGACGAAATAATCCGAGGCCCTCTTTTTTTTTTTAAAAGAAGGAATCTGCTCGTGTTTGAGTCTGCAGCTGCCAGCACCAGCAGCGAGGAGCTTCATATCGGACGCCTGCACGACCTGCTGTGTGCATGCAAATCTGCCCTGATAGAATGCATCAAAATAATTACTTACCTGAATTGGTAGCTGAGAAAAACACGCTGGAGCCTCAGTTTGGGCATGCTCTACGTCTGCTTGCGGAAGGTAAGTCACTCCATTGACAGTAGGCCTACACCTAACTGTTTTATATGCGCACACATTTTAATAGCTCTGCCCACTCCACAAAAAATGAATTGTAATTATGCAAAAAGTTTGAAAAGTAATGATTTGACCTAAGTGCATGTGTTGTCATTTAAGTGGAAAAAAAGGTAACAACTGACAAATAAAGTTAAAGTTCACCAAACATATGCATTCGAATATTTTCTGGTTAAGATTAATACAAAAACGCAAAACCATCTGCTATGACTTTCCCCTTATTAATTTCAAGTGTACACATAAATTATCAAGTTCCTCTGTCTTGTCTATTGTGCAGACCAAAATGTGAGGCCAACTTTCAACAATATCTTTTTCTGCATGCTGGGTAAAGTTATGTTTTCCACAAAGGACTAATTTCAACATCATAGTGTAAAGACAGAGACAGGTGCTTTGCAGTGATTTACTCCAAGATAAACATGCAGACAAGTCATTAGGGATTCGTTAAAATACAAGTACTGTGTCACCTTTACAGCATGCCTATTCTTGCACAGAAAAACAAAGGAATAACATCACCTGGTTCAACATATGATGTACTGTATCTTATTTCTACAGGTGTGTTACCTTTAAAAAAAAAAAAAAAAGGATTAAACACAAAGATAACCAGTCCGCCTTCATGGAGGACTGCATAAACGGGATAACATTTACTGGTGAGAAGCTAAAATTCCGAGCATTTGGACAATTTAAAATTAAAAAAATCTCTGCACATTATTCATCAATTTTCAATAATAATTCTGGATTAATACGAGAAATGATGAGTTGTCATTTCATCGATCAATAATTGAAATGTTGATGGAATTATACTAATGCATTTTATGTCTGCAAATTGTCGTGCATTCATGTGTCGTGTCAAGGAGACACAATAAATGCTCAACTCAAAGAGAAAGATGGAAGCTTAATGTCACCTGCATTCGTACTATAGAAAGGTAAACGTGTGTGTCCTTCACTGGGAAGCAGAGTGGAAGCATACGGTCTGTATGAGAACGTGTTGATGAAACACCTGACTGTCCTGCACTTCCCACTGTCATCCAGATCACAAAATAGGATCATCTGGCCTGCAGAATGCCAGGCAACTTTCACAACAGGTACACTCAAATATCCACAGACATTATTGCTTATCATATTAAGACCAGCCATGGTGCGGCATAATCTACTTTATAGCACAGGATCAAGATACAGAATATTTTATTCATTGTGTTGTCTGGTACAGGTGCAAAATGAATCGATAACTAATTGTTGATCAAATTAATCAAGAATTACTTTGATGATAGATTCATCATTTTGACCTTGTTAAATTTAAAACTGTCCAACTTCTCAGAATTTCTGCCTCACAAGAGTAAATACTGTCAGATTTCTGAAAGATGACTGACTATCTTTGTCTTCAGTCAGGATAAGCCATTTGAACTTAATTTTGAAAAAAAATGCTCTTTGGTCTTTTTTTCTGACATGTTACGCACCAAGCCAGTAGGCTAACTGAATCATAATCCATTTAAGTTTGTGAATTTCTGCACTGTCCCGCATTCGAATTAAGGCATAGGAATGTAAACTTTTTTTTTTATTTTTTATCTTATTCATCACTTAATTGACAAACTAATGTGTGCTGTGAGACATAAAACAAAGCTTTACTCTGAATACTAATAGGATACTAATGTTGTAACCTGCCTCTCTTGTTCACTCATTAGCCTGTCCATTCTATATTAAAAATCCGTATTGGCAACTGTGACAGATCAAAACCAACTTGTAACGTGACCCATCAAAAGGACACAAAAGTCACATCCCGGAAAAGTGATACTGTGCATTACATTTTCAGTATTAAGATGACAAGGTTATCAAAGTCGACTCACAATGAATGTTTGGCTCCATTATCCTTCACTTTCAAGGTCTGGAGCATTGCGAGCAATTCTAATGAGTGAATGAGCCAGAGAATGGAGATGGGCATAACTGTACCTCTTCGGGGGTTTGAATGGCTCATTAAATGCTGTGTCAATGTCAACGACAAAAGGGAGGCTAACATTGAAACACTTGAATGCTGCGGTCAGACCAAACGCGAGTTGAGCTATTCTCGCGACACTATTACGGATAAAGTAGGCCTGTCACTGTTGAATATTTTTAGAATAATACAGTGTGCATTGTGTATGTGATGAATACAGAAATTGCACCCGTAACTGTGACTGCACCTATGAATACGCAGTGCTGTATGATTGTGAAAATACGGTAGATTAGTACATCGATTTAAGGAAGGCTTCATCAGTTTTGTATTTGTGGTAGAAATTAATTAGTTTAGTTTAGAAAAATGCATAAAAGCTGAAAAATACACCTCCGTGTTGATTTATTTTACTTTCATGGCAACATTTTCAACATATGGGTATGTCCATGTTGGGTCCAATGAGAAGTAACATGTGTGATATACTGATGGACAATAGATAGACGCTGGACAACACGGAGGACACGATAAAAACATTGCCAGAATGCACAGCAATAATTTGCAAGGGGTCAAACAGAAACAGCAAACGAGGTGCACACTTGCATGACAGTCCGCAATTTTTTACAAGTGTTCTTACGCAAGTTTTGTCGAGAACTCGGTGTGCACAAGGACAGGGACCCACGCGTGTGTTTGCAGCGAGCATATCCGGGACAAGGAGTACTTTACAATTCGAGATGGGACACGCCACGCATGTGACATTAAAAATCAACACCGTGCCAAGTAATTTTACACAAGCAAGAGGTGGGAGATGAGCTTAACTGCCCGAGGGATGATCTGCGTCCTGTCCGTGGTGAACTAAGAAAACCAAGTGCAGTGTGAAAAAAGCCTTGACACACTTTCCCAGCCATCTCTACTATGCCCTTGTGCACTTCTGGTAGGATTTTGCCAGGATCCCCCACAGCTCTTTCGTCACAGTCATCATAATGTCATCCACATCTTCAAAAAGTGCCGTCTTGATGTCCCCCTTGAGCTTGGCGAAAGAGGAAAAATAATACCGTGGAGCCAGGTCCGATGAGGAGTGGGGTTCCTCCAACACGGTGATGTTCTCACCCAGTGACTGTCAAATGCTGAGGTCTTTGTATGATCAACTTTGTAGTTATGGCGAAGCAGCCACAAGTTGGCCTCCCACAACTCTGGAGTACACATTTCACAGATGTCTGGCTGGAACCGTGTTAAAGCGGAGAACATCCAACTTTAAACAGAAAAATAACAGGCAAACTAATAAATGTCTGGACACTGGAGAGAAAATCTACTTATTAAACAGAACCAGAACCAGAACCGGAACTGAATTACATTACGCAATGTCGTCTGTCAGCCAGGAGCCGTGATCTATCAAAAAGAAAACCAATTGCTTATTTGTTATATTGTCCTATTTTTGTTGTTTAATCAAACCCTTGCTTCAAGTCTGTTGGAATAACCTGCAAAAAAAAAAAAATGCTCCACAAAATTAATGAACTACATGCATAATTTTCAATCAGGTGTAAAATGAATACTAAAAATAACATACTGTATGGTATAAGCTCTCAACACTTTTGCAGTCGCTCTCTATGACCACATTTTGACATGAGGACACACAATAAAAACAGCGCAACAAATGCCATTGCGGCTGTTAAAAAACAAATTGGATTAGATGTGAACCTGATAGCCTGTCAGATGACTGTCAAAAGTGAACCACTAACTCATCACAATGCCTGAATGGCATGGCCAGTTGTGTCTCAGACTCGCAGGGCTCGATGTCTCGCCGCGCCTCGCGTCACATAGTCCGCCATTAAAGAGCAGACAACGCATTAATCACCTGCATCGACAGATGGTCCGTCGCTCGCTCATGAGCAGGAGAGCGGGAGACAGCTGTGTTCAGCATACGTGCGCGCACACACACACACACACACACACACACACACACACACACACACACACACACACACACACACACACACACACACACACACACACACACACTGATGGTATGCCTGGCCTATTCTCATTGATGACTTGTAAAAATCAAAGCTCAATAACAGCAGGGAGGTGAACCAATAAAGAATGGGTATGGCGTTCACCTCAAGTGGTGAACACTTGCCGCATTAATGAGCAAACCATACGTTATGTATGCCACGAGCACTGATCTGAGCATATTTGCATTGTGTTTATTCATTAAAATAAATTGGCTTAAAGTGTTTTGCTGATCCTGCATATTTAACAAATGGCTGTATTATGACGGAGAGGTGGAAGTGTGCCCCCAAGAGGGTCGTGGCTACTAATTAATCACAGTTTTGTATGCCTTAAAACTGTCATTTGGGCTTTTGTAAACTGCTAGCCGCAAATATGACAAATTGTTTGTGAGAAATAAAACAAAATAGCCCCACTGGGACATTTTTTAACAACTCGTACGAACACCAATGTAGATAACTAAAGTCCCATTCGTATTGAATCAGATGATTTCATATTGAAAGCATCTCTGACAAATTGAAAATGACTGAATTGCATTTCCCTGATTTGCTTGCTTTTTCACATCCCATTTGTGTGCGCGGTAATTGGTTTTTACTCTCCTTTTAAAATGATTTTTTTTTTTTACCGCAGAAGACAATTGACGTTAAAATTTGATTTGTCAATCATGACTTGATCACAGTGCAAACAGATCAATCAGTCACAAACAGAAACAGCAAGAGATGAAACACTCAGATTGTTGAGGAACCGTCCCGCCCCGCATTTACACTCATCTCTGTAAAGCGGAAAAAGACAAAACGAATTGCTCTTTTCAGTCCATTCAAATAACAGATTGATGCTGTAAATCATAGCATGCCTTCGGCCTATTTTTGTCTTTGATATGAACAAACAATCAGTTAATGCAGTCATTTAATTGATTTATCTTTTCCTGTATCGTTGAGCCTTCATCATTGGCTTTAAAAAGACAAAGTCAATAATTGCAGCTTCCTACAACTGTTGATTTGTTTTCAGACCATCTTCAAAGTCATTCTCATGCCTACACCGATACATTCAGCTGGTGTGTTAGTGTGGTTTCACTTAACCTGGCTAGGTTCACACTTTTAGTTGGGCATGCCTGACCGCAGATGATGCATAATGCACTAATGTTGTGCACTGCTAGTTTTTTAGTTAATTAAGTTTTATTTCAGGATTTTTTTGGGGGGAAGAGTTTGCAAAAGGCAGCACTTGAGGTATATAATAATATTTTAACTGGACAATGATTTGTCATTTCCTCTTATTACCTATAGCAAAAGGGTATAGTTGATTTTGGGGGCGGGGGGAGGGGGGTGTTACTTGGTTGTTTTGTTATTATGTCGGATTACGCAAACAATATTTCGACAAAACTGGCACACGGGCTCAAAGAAAGACCCATACATTTTGGTACGAAGTCAATTAAAAATGTAAATAAACCGCAGAATTTTCTCTTCGAACATTTGAGTCAAGATGAAACATGTCCTTTAGCCATCAAAGGCTGAAATATTGTAACTCTCCACCAACCAGGAAGTAGCCAACTGACAAAGGCTGGAACACAAATAAAAAAAAAAAAAAATCGAAGTCTTTAGTTCTCTTTATTTTCAATTTTGGGGTAATTTATATTCTCTTTCTCCCATTTGCATCATTCACCCCACCCCAGATTAAAAATGGTAATATCCTCCTTTCCCCACAACTCTTTGTAAACCAAAAGGGACCTGCTAACATACCGAGAGACAAATTATCACAGTATGAAGGTTCTCTTTTATTATTTTTTCACAGTTCAATAGTTCTATTTTCCTTCGTTTTGATGTCTGCGAAATGAAATTGGGCCTCCTTTGGTCATGCGTAGAGACTAAAACTGTGTACACACGGTGTGACTCCTGAATTGGAGATGTAGACACATTTATCCCACAGTTGACCCTTTAAACCTTCCTTTTTTTCAAAATTCCTCTTCTCTGCACAGCATTGCTGAAGCAGTTTTGGCCATTGCATCAGAGCGGATCAAGAGCACCAGAATAGTAACTCAGAGTTGAAATGATTCGTTTCCCTGCAATGAGATGTTTTTTTTTTTTAGGAACCGTCCCGCCCCGCATTTACACTCATCTCTGTAAAGCGGAAAAAGACAAAACGAATTGCTCTTTTCAGTCCATTCAACTAACAGATTGATGCTGTAAATCATAGCATGCCTTCGGCCTATTTTTGTCTTTGATATGAACAAACAATCAGTTAATGCAGTCATTTAATTGATTTATCTTTTCCTGTATCGTTGAGCCTTCATCATTGGCTTTAAAAAGACAAAGTCAATAATTGCAGCTTCCTACAACTGTTGATTTGTTTTCAGACCATCTTCAAAGTCATTCTCATGCCTACACCGATACATTCAGCTGGTGTGTTAGTGTGGTTTCACTTAACCTGGCTAGGTTCACACTTTTAGTTGGGCATGCCTGACCGCAGATGATGCATAATGCACTAATGTTGTGCACTGCTAGTTTTTTAGTTAATTAAGTTTTATTTCAGGATTTTTTTGGGGGGAAGAGTTTGCAAAAGGCAGCACTTGAGGTATATAATAATATTTTAACTGGACAATGATTTGTCATTTCCTCTTATTACCTATAGCAAAAGGGTATAGTTGATTTTGGGGGCGGGGGGAGGGGGGTGTTACTTGGTTGTTTTGTTATTATGTCGGATTACGCAAACAATATTTCGACAAAACTGGCACACGGGCTCAAAGAAAGACCCATACATTTTGGTACGAAGTCAATTAAAAATGTAAATAAACCGCAGAATTTTCTCTTCGAACATTTGAGTCAAGATGAAACATGTCCTTTAGCCATCAAAGGCTGAAATATTGTAACTCTCCACCAACCAGGAAGTAGCCAACTGACAAAGGCTGGAACACAAATAAAAAAAAAAAAAATCGAAGTCTTTAGTTCTCTTTATTTTCAATTTTGGGGTAATTTATATTCTCTTTCTCCCATTTGCATCATTCACCCCACCCCAGATTAAAAATGGTAATATCCTCCTTTCCCCACAACTCTTTGTAAACCAAAAGGGACCTGCTAACATACCGAGAGACAAATTATCACAGTATGAAGGTTCTCTTTTATTATTTAAAAAAAAAAAAAAATCGAAGTCTTTAGTTCTCTTTATTTTCAATTTTGGGGTAATTTATATTCTCTTTCTCCCATTTGCATCATTCACCCCACCCCAGATTAAAAATGGTAATATCCTCCTTTCCCCACAACTCTTTGTAAACCAAAAGGGACCTGCTAACATACCGAGAGACAAATTATCACAGTATGAAGGTTCTCTTTTATTATTTTTTCACAGTTCAATAGTTCTATTTTCCTTCGTTTTGATGTCTGCGAAATGAAATTGGGCCTCCTTTGGTCATGCGTAGAGACTAAAACTGTGTACACACGGTGTGACTCCTGAATTGGAGATGTAGACACATTTATCCCACAGTTGACCCTTTAAACCTTCCTTTTTTTCAAAATTCCTCTTCTCTGCACAGCATTGCTGAAGCAGTTTTGGCCATTGCATCAGAGCGGATCAAGAGCACCAGAATAGTAACTCAGAGTTGAAATGATTCGTTTCCCTGCAATGAGATGTTTTTTTTTTTTTTTTTATCCCGTGTGAGAATTGAAAGTAGTGACCTTCAATTCACTTTCGTGCTCTTCTGATCCCTGCACTCACATTGCTCCCATTCACATTGCTCCCGCTCACATTTTTTTTTTTTTTTTGTGGCAAAACCATGATGCATGTGCAACTGTTTTGCCACATTTGTTCACAGTAAGCCGATTTACCCATCTTTCACACAAACACAATCTTCTTGTGGCAGGCTGCAGACCACAAGAGATGCACTGTTGTGGAACGTAAAAGTCCTCACGGTCTTTTTATTGCTACACACAAATGACTGGCCATTTGATGAGGTAAATAAATACAAAAAAATAAAACAAAATAGTATTTAAAAATATAAAAGTACGAAAGTACCAAAACAATTCAAAATGAATCGGTGAGTATCATCAAAAGGGACCAAAAATAAGAGACTGAGACTAACTGACTGATAGTGTGCCTTGACAGAATGCACTTGAGTCTGCAATCAATTCAACAAGCCCACATTCACGATGCTAATGTCCTGCTTATAGCAGGGTGACAGATTTTTTTTCAGTGCACAAAAAAAATTTGTTTTTTGTTTTTTCCAAGAGTTTTCTCCGCCCCCACACTGCCCCAAGTTTTGCATGCAAAATGAAGTTTATCCATGTTTTTTAATTATTTTAATTTTTATTTATTTTTTTTTAAATGGGTTTTTCAATATTCGCGGGGCCGGCCCGGTCCCTATCGACTGTGTAAACAAACGGATTGATGTTGTCATCTTATTACCGATCGTGATGAAACCATTCATCCATTTTCTCTACCGCTTCATCCACATTAAGATTGCAGCTGTGCAGAAGTTTGTCACAGATGACTTTGGGCGATACACCCTGGACTGGTCGCATGCCACTATAAAAAAATAATGTTTAAAAATGAATCCACAACCTAATGTGAAAACATTTAAACAAAAGCAGACCTATACGCACACCCAATCAGTCAAATCTTACTGTATTTGTATGATGCAGCGCAATCATACACCAGTGTAAACTACCCCCACTATAATAAACATTCATACTTCGGAAATATCAATCAGACCAAAGACAGACATTTAATATAGGTTTTACCTCATAAAATGGGCATTGTTATGTCAAAAATTCTCTGAGCCAGAATAATTTTAACAGTTTTTTGTCAGCAATATTGACATACTACTGTACATGTACAGATAACCGCCACATATTTGTGGTTATGCATTTTTTATGGAACCTCTTCCCCGTTATTTGTGGAGACCTCTGTAACCCCAGATTTTTTTTCTAGGTAGCATCAATCATTCGAGGCTTTTCGCAATTTGTGACCGGTCTCGGTTCTTATCCCCTGTGATTAGTTGGTGTCCACTATATATTGCTGAAGTTGGAGGGCCTCTCTAATCCGTTTAGTTCCACTCCCGTAAGAATACGGCATATGAGTGTGTGACAAGGATCCAAAGGAACAATCGTACCTTGACAAAATGCCTGCATTTCATTTTCGAACTTGCTGTTCATCTCATTTCTGGATCTCCCACAAGCATCTTAATGTTGCAGCTCTTCAGAGTCCTTTGACAGCTGGAGCTCGACTGCATTTAAAGGCTCCCTCCAGGAAGTCATTACTGGGAATGTTTCGAGCCATTTTTTGCCATGCTGATTCAGTCTGCTGCACCTCTGATCAATTTCCCATCCAACTTGGACACGTCAGATGACTGTTGGCCCAATTTATGCAAGATTTCCCACTCATGTAAATGACACAGAGACAGTGTGCATTGATCGAAATCAATTATCTGCAAATATGATCTTAATTTGAGAGCTCATCAACCTAATTTGCACCACTCCAAACAACTGCTCTCTAATGACATCAAGCAGCAGGCTAAACTTGTATCCTAATGTGCTCTTAGTTACAGCTGTGTGACGCTACACACAGTTACATTTCTCCCAAAGTGTCCCCTGAGTCTGATTTTATTGTTGTTGTTGTTGTTGTTATTATTTGCAGTCACCCTGCCACCGGACTGATGCACAGTATAACTAATGATCCCCTTTGTCTTCTTCGCTGCAGAAATTGAAAAGCATGAAGGTGATGAACTGCAACAAGATGGCATAATGAAGAAATACCTTGACATTATCAGCAATAAAAATATAAAGCTGTCTGAAAGAGTTCTCATCCCTGTGCAGCAGTATCCAAAGGTAAGACGCAACTGCTCCGTATGTCTGTCAATATCATATCTACAGCGAGTTCACTCTTTCAATTCGCAAAGTCAATACATTTACCTTAACCCTTTCAGGGACAGCGCTTACTACAGTGGACATCTTATCATGCTATCAGGTTACAGGGTGCATGACAGGGTTAAAATAGCACGCCTCAAAATCATTGTGATGATAAACAGTACTAGCTGGTACTCAGGAGTATAACATGTCTGTTGTTCCCGTGGCAATCCTGGATGCCGTCCTTCCGGGACCTATGGGAATTGTTTTACACTGTCTTTGTGTTGGCCAAGTACTTGAGCCCAGTAAGCTCACATCCATACATTAATTAACTTTGAGTTTCAGGATATCTACTCTGTTTCTTGGTTTTAAATCATGAAATGACAGAATACCTTCTGCTTCCCATTTCCATTCAGTTTATCGTGAATTCTCGGCAAAGGCAATGTTGATAAAATTAAAGAGAGAAAGAGACATAACCGAGGGAGCAAACTTTTGAAAACTTCAGTGCAACTTTTTTTTTTTTTTTTAGGTTACTCTGTCGCAGACTAATTTCCATGTGGAGACGACACATTATTGAAGAATTAAGTGCCGCGTGCTTTCCTTACAATGCCGCTTAATTGCATTCATCTAGTGATGTCCGGTAGCTCCAGTAGGTAAATCGGTTCTTGATTAGATAGTTAATGAAAGCACAGCAGAGCCTGCAAATAACAAGAGCTATGAAGTTTTTATAGAATCAATGAAAATACAAAAAGCACAGATGAACAATTTGATGACCACACTCGAAAAATTTCATGCACAGCCCCTGATCAGCTATAAGGCTGCTTAGGGGACAACATTGTGGTTTTTTTTTAAGTCAAAGCAGCATACATACGGAGCTACTCAAATACAAAACCAAAATTGCCGCAAAGACATTTATCGAGGTCAGTCAGGCCAGCAATGGCGACAGCAGCCATGTAAAACATCAGCAGCAGATTATTACAAACGTAAAAGGAAGCCAGACACTTTCCTGTGGATGTCAGTGTTATCTGACCAGTCTAGTGTGTCATTGAGCTGCAGCCCCACATTTGAATGTCTAGACAAGAGGTAGTCAAATACATATCCTTCAGTGCCGCTGACAGTGTTACATGTGCAACCGCCCATCTTGACGTACCGTAGTCTCTTTGAGAGGCATAGTTCATCAACCAGGAGATGACGCATATGTCCATTGTCAGGTTGCTGAGCAAGTTCTGTACTTTCATAAATAATGTCGGGTGAACTCAAAATTTCAAGGCAACAAACGATTCAACTAAATATGTTAAGCTTTTCTGTTGTGAAAATTGGCACTCCAGCAGTTCACAACAAAGAACTGTTGTCTGTTGTCATGGTTGCCAAAGCTCCAGATAAAAGTAAATGAATAAATAAATAAAAGTCAGCTAATTATTTTGCAGCAAATAACTTGTTTGCTTTGTTATATTAAGCACTAATGTTGTTGCCATAAATGGGAATAAGTTAGATTCAAAAGGTGTTCCAATTTAAATTACTGTTTTACCGCCAAAAAAAAAAAAAACTCCGAATTTTTCCCAGGTCACAGACTGTGCAGATGCATGCTGTGTATATATTTTTGAGGAGTTCCTTCTCCAATGAGTCTCCCACTGAGAGGCATACAGCTAATTGGCTTTTTTTCTTTTCACACTCTTGGCTCACTTTTGTCATTGCTGCTGATTGCTTGGGTATTCAATAACGTCCTGCCTTGGTGGCAGAGCAGAAGAGAAATTCACAAGACATCATAAATCTCTTCTGTCAGGTTTTGGACGTGCCGCAGTGCCCGTTCTTGCTTACAGCAGCCCTCCTGCCTGAGCGTAATTAAATGTAAATTAATTACATTATTGCTTGGGAAAACTCTTCACATAGTTTCTGATCTGCTGAATTGGTGCATGGAAGATGAATGTCAGCCTGCAGTAAAATAACCTCTACTAATCCCTGCATTTAGTCTTGGCTCTCCGAGCATATGAGCCTATCATGCAGGATGCTTCGTTGTTGCATCCCGAGACGCCTGAATGAAGCCATGCCATTGTTGACGGTTCCGCCTGTGCCTTTCTTGCTTTCCAAATGTGTGTTGTGGACAAGGTCTGCTAAGAATGTTGGCATACCGGGCGAAATTCATCTTCATGAAAGTTATTTGGTGCTTAAAAAGTTCATTTGCTAAGAAAATATGCACCATCTGTGTTAGAGGTTGGCGGTGTCTGCCTCCATCATGTTCATAAACTAACAGTTCAGCAAGGGAATGGTCATTGAGGAGACGTTTTGTATTCTTGGTCCCCATGCCTGTCTCGACACAGGGTATTTTTTGCTAATTAAGAAGAATGTTGTGTGATTAAAACTAAGATCAGAATGAAAGTATAAATATGCATTCATTCATTTATTTTCCGAACCACTTTATCCTCACTGGGGTCGCGGGGGGTGCTGGAGCCAATCCCAGCTGTCTTCGGGCAATAGGCGGGGGACACCCTGAACCGGTTGCCAGCCAATAGCAGGGCACACAGAGAGGAACAACCATCCGCGCTCACACTCACACCTTGGGACAATTTGGAGTGTTCAATCATCCTGCCATGCATGTTTTTGGAATGTGGGAGGAAACCGGAGTACCCAGAGAAAACCCACGCAAGCACGGGGAGAACATGCAAACTCCACACAGGAAGGCCCGAGCTGGAATTGAACCCGCTACCTCTGCACTGTGAGGTCAACGCACTAACCACTGGACCACCTGGCCGCCCTTATTTTTATTTTAAAAATATTTATTAATTTTTGGGGACCACACCTTAGGTCAAATAAAATGTATGGGTAATGCGGAAACTGAGTGGTTCAGTTTGCTGTGTTTGATAAAACACGTGAAGATTAGATCTTCATGTGTTATTTGGATCAAATCAGAGAGGTGGTGCATTCCACTGCATGCTTGGTCGTCATCATCAATCACTGGGACATGAGTGTTTTGTGCACCTCTTGATGTAAAATGGGATAGATTAGATGTGTTGTCAGTTTTACAGCAGGCCGAGATCAGGACATGTTTGGCTCAGTTAGTTTCCTCAACCTACCTTTTGGGATCTGAAGTATACGCACTTTGGTAGCCTTTTAACTTGTAAGTTTTCCACACAATCAACCGTCGTATGATGATTAGAATTCACTCGGTGCCATTTAAGATTGAGACAGCATGTGCATAGTTTTGAATGCACTTTTTTTTTTTTGTTTCACCTCAACGAGCAAGTTTGCATATAGCATGACAGGCTCTGCTCGTCTATGTACAGCCCATAACAACGATATGTCCTTGTGAATAGCACCATTTTGAGTACATCCATCCTGTGTTATTGTGACCTTTAGATAGTGCTCTGCTCCGTTCATTTCATAGCGGCATTCCATTACTGTACTGTCTATCCCAAAGAAACATTTCATTATGGAAAGGTGTTTTGCTTTGATAAGTGAAACAGCATGCATGCTGTGAATTAAACATGAGCATGTGTGATATAGTGTAGTGAAATGTTTATGCCAGCACTGCATTGCAAAATGCGCCTCCAAAAAACAATGCTGATTTTTAGTAGACACTGTCCAGGAGGTTCTAATTCCACATTTTAAAAATTATAATTATTATCATTAGCCCGTCGACCTCACAGTGCGCAGGTTGTGGGTTCGATCCCGGCTCCGGCCTTCCTGTGTGGAGTTTGCATGTTCTCCCCGGGCCTGTCTGGGTTTTCTCCGGGTACTCCGGTTTCCTCTCACATTCCAAAAACATGCATGGCAGGCTGATTGAACGCTCCAAATTGTCCCTCTGTGTGAGTGTGGGTGCGGATGATTGTTTGCCTTTGTGTGCCCTGCGATTGGCTGGCAACTGGTTCAGGGTGTCCCCCGCCTACTGCCCGAAGACGGCTGAGATAGGCTTCAGTACCCCCCGCGACCCTTGTGAGTATCAAGCGGAACAGAAAATGGATGGATGGATGGATGGATGGATGGATTATTATCATTGTGCTTGTAGAGCCAGTCGCTATCCTATGTCACCAATCAAAACGATACATGCATTATAATCTTAGCAAACGTGTTCATACTCTTGTAGTATTGAATTATGGAGGTGTAGTTCCTCCACAATTGTAGAATCCCTTGCATCCTTCCCTCTAATATACACATAACTATCAGAGTTGGTACAGCAGGGGGCACATTGGATCATTTCAAAGCTCATTTAACAGCGGTACCTGCCCCCTCTTCAAAGCATAAATTGCCCGCCACGGAGGTGCAGAATGGCTCCAGACATTAACTTAATGAAAACAGGCCACTCTCTTTCTCATGCCCAGCAAGTGTGTTCCCACCGTAGCTGCTATGACCATCTGCTGTCCAGCTCCCTGCCAGCTTAGGCATAGTCCTGTCAAAGCGGCCCCTGTGAGGAGAGGCGTCCAAAAGGTGCCTTAATTACGCAGATCAGAGGACAAGCGAGGACAGCAGGGATCCTTTTATTTTCTAGAGAATGGTTTCGTGTTGGTACTAACATGGCGCACAGCGGAGATGTTAATGTTGACCAAATCGGCTGAGTGTGCACTTGTCGGAGTTGAATCACAGCAGCCCCGCAGCTGGCTCTGGAGTTATTGGCAGCGGGAGAAGGTTGCTTTGTGTGAAGGTTAATATCATCTGGGTTAGGCTTGTGAAGTGGTGGTGGGGTGACAAAGACCACCTGTTCAGTTCTCAAGGTGGTCTCTTCACAGTAAGAACAGACATTTGAAAATCAAATGCCGTGGTGTTATGTAGTCTACACACATATCAGGAAAAATACAATACAGTGGATGTGCTAAAGTTATATCCAATTCATACCGCACATTGTTTTTTTTACTTTTATTTGCCTCTTGTACGGACTTGTCCGGTTCTTTGGTCTTTATCCAGAGGTTCTTCGACTCAAACGGCAGTTCAACGAGTTCCTGGGGAGCTCATTTGAGTAGAAGCACCTCTGTCTTTATCAGATTTCTCCCCTGCCTTTCACGGGCTAGTATAACAAACAGATATTCGTATACTAAGATGTAAATTGGATGAGACGCTGCAATTTGTATTCAGGAGAAGGGGAATGGTTCAAAGTTGATAGAAACAAAGTATGACTCTATTGAGGTTTTTGTAGAAGATTTAGACCTAAGTGCACTCGCCAAATGCGATACCACTCCACTAGGATTAGAGGAAATTGTTTTATTTTTTTTTTTGTTGGCATTGCCCTGCTACCTAACAAACCAACAAGCTCCCTATTCTCTTTAATCTTCTACTAAGTGACATTCAGACATCAAAAACATCATTATAACATGCACGGATGCATGTTTTATTCGATAAATTCAGTCATTGCTGCGACTGCAATGTGTGCAATTCTAAAGGTGCTGTCTCACGGAGCTTCGTAGGCTTGCGCGTGTTTGCCAACATAGCGAATGAAGGAGACATTTTATTAACAAACGATGACATTAAAAACAGCATTTGCCACCACGTTTTGGCAGCTCAGTGAGATATCACCGAAACAAATAAATTCATCATAGTGCCCTCTGCTGACTCCTTGTCCCACTATATATATATATATAAAATTTCAATTTTAAGCATTTGTGTTTCAACTCACGTCCCCCTCGAAAGAGAATACATTTATCTGCAGCGGGCCAGAAGTGAGCATTTCAGCCTTCTGATGTAAAGAAAATGCTTATCTGCTCAAACAACCAAGACATTATTGCCCATGTGAACACCTATAGGCTGGTGCAGAGTGCGAAGGAAATGATAGTCAGAGCCCGAGGCTTGAATCTGATCGTTTGTCATCTGAATACTATAGCTTAATTTCCACAGGGAGGAAACTCATTATGTCTGACTTTATCTCAACACTGACCTCCAAAACAGTCTCAGGGATGTTATTGGTTTCATCCCCATGTTTCCCCATATTTTTCCTCTCACCGCACGCTACAGATGATCCTCAAACCAATAAGATACACGACCAGCGAGGGCAGAGTTCAAGCCAAAGATAGGTGGCATGATGTTATGCTGAACCCGTGGAATGAGGGTCCCATTCACCTTTCATTCGCTACAGAAAAAGCACAATTATATTGATTTATTACAGGCTACATTACACGATATTTGCCCATGTGGCGGGCGGTGAAAGGAATCTGAGATTATATTGATTAAAAAAAAAGACTAATGGCCAGTAAACACCTTTTGCGGTTTACCTTTTTTCCCCCCAAACGGATCACATTTCATTTCCTCACGTGTAAATCATTGGTTCATGTTCCAATTTAGATGTTTCTACTTGTGACTTCTTGCTTTTCCTCTCCCTTTTGTTGCAGTTTAATTTTGTTGGAAAGCTACTGGGGCCTCGGGGAAATTCCATGAAAAGGCTACAAGAGGAAACAGGAGTCAAGATGTCCATCCTCGGAAAAGGGTCCATGAGGGATAAAGCAAAGGTAATATAAATCGATTTTGTGTTGAAATATGGTCTTATGGGTTGTTTGGGATGTGAAATAAATATACATATTCATAGCAACTTGAAAATAACATCCAAACACTCGCAGAGATGAACAGCTTTCAGTTGTCAAACATAAGTAGGGGAGGATATGAATAATTTAAAAGCATATTGTGTAATTGTCATGTGTGAGCGCAACATAATGAAGCACTTTGCTCCAGTCATTTGTCGTGCTGACATGTCATCCCCTGGAGCTAAACTTAGCCCGAGCGTGCACGGATTCAGTCTGCCATCATAACAGTGCCACTTCCATCAATGTCGTCCTGTAGAATTTTGTTTCTCTTAATGCTGGCGACGTTTCTTTCACACAACCCGAAAAGCGCTGGAGCCTCATCACAGGATACATCAAGTTTCTTGTTGACGTCACCATAAAAATTTTTTATTGGCTTTAATGGCTTTGGATTGATCAGAAGTGATGTCAGTTTACATTCTTGTGAGGGTGAGTTAGTTATTTAAAAGAAATCAGGTTTTGTGGTTTTGATGTCAGTGCACTTCGGAAAATGCAAAGTCAATTCATTGATTGATTACAATTCCTTGAAATATTATTGTCATTGGGATAGGATAATCTCTCTCTGCTTTTTGTTCTGACTTTTTGTTTCATAACGCTGTTGATTATTGAGCTGGATTGCACTCAGTTTTCCTTCCGATGATTAATCATTTGATTACACACAGTTGACAGAATTCTTAACAGTCAACTTATACATCCTTGTCATTTTTTGGTGTGTTAATCATTTTTCCAACCATCTTAAAGCAATGGAATGTGTGCTCATATTTCTGTATCAGACAAAGTTGGCTGGTCTTGTTGTGTTTTCTGTCCTTCATGTTCAATTGACCATATATCAGTTTAGTGCGGCACTCTCGTCTGGTCTCTGTTCTGCTTTGTATGTATTTAATATGTACGTGGTAAGAGAATTCCGTAGTTGGGATTTAATTGCATCCCAGTGGGGTATACATTGGAATCATAAATGTCCAACCATTGCGTCCACTGATGAATAGTACAGTGAAACAATGCATGTTGGTGCTTTGGCATTTACATATTCCAAAATTTTGGGGGGGACCTGCTTTGCCGCCATCTTGATGCTCAGAAACTATGTTAAAGTTAGGTGAGGAGTTTCATTTGTCCAAAAATTGCTTTGCTGCCACTTATTTGTGATCTGTGTTCTTTTTAAGGTTTGCATTCGGTTTTGTTTCATGTTATTTCTTATTTTCTTGTGTTTCATGTCTTTTCTGTCCGTTAGGTGTTTTTGGGAAATACACTCCGTGCACGCACTGCTTCACTCTGACCGTTGCTCAAATCTGCTGTTCGGTTTTTCAGAGTGCACCAAAAACTGAGTGCCGTTGCATGCACTAGGTGTTTCGACTGGGGACACGATGCGCCAGTGAAGTCATGCAGTACAGATGGAAGCAATTCGAGCACGGGCTGCTTATTGGCTGAGTGGATGTCGATCCAGCCTGTTTTAGATGTCAAATGTCAGATTCAAGTGATCAAGCTCATACGGACACTCTGAGAGGGTTGATGAACATCCTGAATTTGAATCAGGTGTGTTGGAAATATGGAAGCATCTAAAACCGTCTGGATAAGGGCTCTCGCAGCCCAGAATTAGAACATGGGTCGCATTAGGAAATAAAGAGGAGCCTCTCCGAACACGCACACTCTCAGAATAGCGCACCGGCATCAGAGTGAATTTCTGAACGTGTCCTTTGTTTCCCCCTGTGCTTGTCAACCAATCCCTTGTGTCTTCCAGTCAGCTCCCTCAGCCACTTGTCTTGTCCAGGTGTTCCTCCTTGTCATGTCATTTAGTTCCCTGCCTCCTTGCTGTCTTGGTTGGCTCATTTGTTCTTGCTTTGGATCGTAGTCACTGTCAGGTATCTGGTCTTCATGTCTTGTTGAGTTTGGTGTTATTGTTTTTTCATTACTTTGGCTCAGGTTTGTTTGGACTTGACTTAATTTACACTACACAGTTTGCCATAAACATAAGAAGTCCCAGTGGGCTACACTGCGATCCGTTGTGTACGACCACACATTTCTCCATCTTTCAAAATATTACCAAATATGCTCATATAGCAGAATATTAAATTTAACCTTGAGTTAAAAGGTAAGCGATTTCAAGAACACCCAACCTCAGTCTTCTTCAAATGCACAGTCTTGTCTGAGCCCTATCAAAACGTTTTTTCTACAATACCGTGTTCAAAGTTCTTTGTCAAACTTCGAAACAAAGACATCTGTTTTATCATAGTGGCCTTGGCAGAGAAGTCTAAAAGTTTGTCAAGGACATTTTTTTTTTTTTTGAAGGAGTGGACTACAAAAAAAAAAAAAATGTAAGGGCTTTGTCAGGACTGATTGAAATGAAATTGTTAGGTCTTCAGTCCCTAAGGAGTTAGCCACAGGCCTTGAACAATCTTTGGTTTCAATTAACGGTACCTAACCTCCTGAGTTAATTGACCAGTAACGTGTTAAGTCATTGAAGAGTCTCGCCGAGAATTTCGATTTATGATATTTTATGTACCAAAGGAAAAGATAATATACCTGTGCCATGGTTCTGGTACCAAAGACAAGCAGAATCACTGTGTTTGTGTCTTCAATGTGCCTGTGTGTGTGTGTGTGTGTGTGTGTGTGTGTGTGTGTGTGTGTGTGTGTGTGTGTGTGTGTGTGTGTGTGTTGATATTGATTTTGTCGACACTCTGACATCCTTTTTGGGAGAATCTGACAAATAAACTTTTTGTCAGAAAGGCTGGTATGAAGGCAAAGTCAGTGTGGTGTGCTTTTCTCAACCATCTCATTCAGCTGTGACCCACTTGGGTCCATCAGCTCGGCAATGGGGTGACAGCTCATCTTGGAGGGCGCATCAATATTGCACTTTGTGTTCATGGCTCAAGCAGATTAACACGGCGCTCAGTCAAAGAGAGACCACATTTCATTTCCTCAACTCGAGACTTTCAACAAGACAGAACAAGTAGTGAGAAATGTATTACTGATTTACCAATTGCTGGCAGTGTCACTGTTGATGAGGCAATTGTTACATTGTCACACACAAATTAACCAATCTGATGTTGCATCTTCTGCACGCTGTAACCTGATAATATGATAAGCTGTCAACTGTAGTAACCGCTGTCCCCGAAAGGGTTAAATTGTCCTTAGATGTGAATGTGAGTGTGAATGGTTGTTTGCCTATTTTTGCGCTGCGATTGGCTCGCAACCAGTTCAGGGCCTACTCTGTCTCTCAACCTAAATCAGCTGGAGTAGGTTGGAGCTCACCAATGACCCGAGTGAGGATAAGCAGTACAGTCGAAGAATGGTTGGATAGTAAACAAGTAACCATCACCGTATGATGCATAGTAGTCCCTTTTTTGGGGGGGAGTGGGGAGGGGGGGCAGAGTAGTCCTTTACTACTGCAAGCTATAGCCTGATAAAACCAAACAAAAAAGCAATTCTCTGTAAAAGTTAAGTGTGTGAATATGATGTTTTTTTGTATTATTATTATTATTATTATTGTTGTTGTTGTTTTTTATTATTATATCCGGTATTTTGCTATTCAAACTTCTGTCCTGGCAACATTGTCAAGACTTATCTCATTAAAGTTCACGCACAGGCATATAAAACATAACATATACTCTAGACGCAGCTTAACTGTGCTGTATTTTCTTTTTTTTTTCCACAGGAAGAAGAATTAAGGAACAGTGGAGAGGCCAAATATGCCCATCTGAGTCACGATCTTCATGTTTTAATTGAAGTCTTTGCTCCACCGGGCGAGGCGTATTCCCGTATGAGCCACGCTTTGGAGGAGATTAAAAAATTCCTTGTTCCAGTAAGTGAACCGTTTTGACATCATTGTTTCAAAGCAGAACTTGATCTCTTGTAGAACTTCTCTTGCCAATGTCACTGCATTTAACTTGATTGTTTCAGGCAGGCTTACCGACATAAAGAATAAGTACAGTATTCAGAGTTGTTTGCTGCAAAGGGATTAGTATTGGTCTGATGTGTTTTCATCTAAACACTACATGACTACATTATAATCTCCCTGAGAAATAAAGACATTCTATTCAGCAATTTAAATGCAGTATGGAGCAGCCGGCAGAACTTGGCCATAACAAATGTGCACAGTGTGTAATCGTGCTATGTCTAAGCTGTTCATTGTCATTCAACTTTACAAATGTGACAAGCTGCACAAGTTTGTTTTATGGAGTTGATGCTGTTCCCCCTTCTTACAAGTGTCCTTGCAACTGTGCCAGAAGGATAATTATACCGCATATGCACTAAGCAGTTAGATATCAAATATATTAAATGCGTGCTGTTCCCCCTTCTTACAAGTGTCCTTGCAACTGCCAGAAGGATAATTATACCGCATATGTACTAAGCAGTTAGATATCAAATATATTAAATGCACAAATGTAGAAAGTGGCCATTATGCAGAATGAGCCAAATTGTATAGAAACCAAATTTGTCAAAGAACTCTCAAATATACTGCTACATTAGGATCCCAAAGAAATACAAGCCTGCTGTATTGTTGCGACTTTCCGCTTGTCCCTTCAGGGGTCGCCACATGATTTGTTTGGCACAGTTTGTCCTTTCCTGAAGCAGCAGTGTCTGCATGAACGACAGCAGCCTGTACCGCTACAATGCTAGTACAAATGTAACCATGCTGCGCATTATAGTATACAGTATAAAAATAATTGTAATAACTAGAGATGGGAGCAACTATAAAGGGGCCTGCAACCCTGGCCAAGTTGGAGTATTTGCACATTGGGGTACTGGTACAGAGGACAATGACCCTCTAAAATAAAAGTATATATTCCAGGCCTTATGAATGTTCAAAGTTTAGACCAGGGGTGTCAAACTCATTTCACATGGTGGGCCACATACGGCCTCGGTAGATGTCAAGTGGGCCGGACCATTAAAATGATAC